TGAAAGGATTTTAAGCAATTAAAAACTTGTGAGTGCTTTTCTGATCATATCCCAAACATTTTGAACATGTAATTTTAACATTTCTATAACATGTTATATTTTTACTTTAAGTAATAAATGGGTCGGGAAAAATATTAATTTATTTTTAAATTTCTGTAAATGGTTAAGTGTTTTAGAGGTATGTTTATATTATCAGTTCTTATTTCATTGTATTATATCAGGAAATGCAAGGTATACAGTTTCTCATTTAAAAATGTGTTAACACCTTATCTGTGGCCTACGATTAGTTTTTTGTATACATTAAAAGATTGTCCTTCTTTATTTCCAATTATGTATAAATCTACTCACCTGTCATTATCAACTGTATTACTGTTAGTATTTGTCTTTTACCTTTCTCTGCTTGAGGTAGCTTATTTTGATAGGAGGGCTTTAAACTCTTTACAATTCTGTTTCATCATCTCTCTTTCCCCCCCTATGTTTTTATCTATTCAACAAATATTTGTTGGTTCCCACTGTGTGCCAGGCACTGTGGATACAGTGGTAAACAAGACAGACAAAGTCTGTGTTTCTGAGAGAAGATGGGGATGTGATGATGGGGAAGTGTGGGCGCTGGGATTGGGAAGAGTATCAAGGAGAACCCCTGAGATGCTAAGGTTGAATAGTCAAGCTGGAGCATTCTGGACCCAGGAAAAGCATGTGTGAACATATACACCCAATAAGTAGTGTTTTCATTTTTATTATGCCTTGCATCCAGCTAAATTATTGTGCTCCCTTAAATATTTATTCCACAATATTTGCTGAGTGTTACTTAAGACTATGAAGAGTGTTAACACAACATTGTAAATCAACTATACTTCAATTAGAAAAAAAAAAAAGACTATGAAGAGTGTGAAGTATGATGCCATCAGTTCTGGAAGTACAGAGATAGGGTCAACCTAGACCCTTGCAAGAGGCTGGAGTCCTCCCTGGGACCTAGCAACAAGGCTTACTACGTACTTTCCAAAATATTTAGGGAAAGGATTAATGACTGCAAGATTGAGAAAAAATAGGTAGAACTAATAGAATGCAAAGAAGAGCCCAAGGAAACAGTGGCATTTTCCACATTAAGAGGGTCAGAATCCAGTTACCATTAGCCTGGAAGGACTCCTAGAACCTGGATGTGTGGGACATGGGTGGTAGGCCTAGTCTCTCTCCATCTCAGAAGAACCTGGAAGCTGGGCTCAGGGCCTTCCACAGAGGAGGCTTTAATACTGAATTCAATAATTCAATGTTCTTTTAAACTTCAAAGTAACTTATGTGCATTGTAGAAAAATTTGAAAAATACACGATTACAGACACATAAGCACCCGTGGGCCTATCACTGGAGAATAATTACTGATAACCTTTTGGATTATTTCCTCCATCTTTTCTGGTTTTTCATCTTACCTGGTTGTGCTTATTCTCTAATTTCAGGCTTTACTTAACCCTTAGAGATATAGTGCATGTTAAGCCTCTTTGTAAACATTTCATGCCTGTATAAGAATCTTCTGTTTTTAGACACTTAGCAGTTTTCTGACTTTTTCATAGTCACAAGTAAGGCTTTGAGGACTGCCCTTAGGCATGAAGCTGCTGCTTCATCTCTGTCCCCTCTGCACTGGCCAGCCCAGACCTCAGCCTCAGCCAGCCTGCCCTCCTTGGGCATTGGCCCCTGTTCATAGCCCTTCAAAACTCCTGCTGTTTCCCTGAGGTATTGGCGCTACCCAGGCAGTCTTTGTGCACCCCGCCCCACCTCCCCTGACACATCACTCTCTTCCAGAGTGACCTCAGCTCCTCCCATGAAGTCACTCAAGCTTTACTGAAATCACTGACATCATCACTTCCTCCTCTAAGAGGACCAGCCTCCCCTGGCACCCTCCAGTCAGGGCCCCAACACTCCTGTGACCTGCATCAGCTTCAGTTACTACCTGCTTATCAGTTCATTTGTCATCCCACTTCCATCATACCCCCAGCTTCCTTCATGTCCCAGAACCCAGCAGCGGCTGGCATGTGCTATGGACCCAGAAATGTTTGATGAACAAATGAATGACTGAATGGATGAACCCTAGAAGTAGGCTTCGCTGGGTAAGAGAGTCATTTTTTTCTCTCATGTTTTGAGTATTTCATAAAAAGTTGAAAAAACAAGCTCATAAATACTACTACCCCGTACCCCTGCTCAAGGTTCAAAATGAGATCCCACTACTTCAGGGCCCTACCACCTCTCCCCTCCCCCTCTCCCAGGGGGTAGAGCCTAGTCTCCTCCCCGGGGTCCACAGGTCACCCTGCTGCATCTCTGCAGTCCTGCCTGAGAGTCCAGGCTTGAGGCTGGGCCTGCCCTCCCCTGTCTCTCTTTAGCTGGACTGTGCTGTGGGGGCAAGAGATGGTCCCAGTAAGTACTCATATCTGTTTTCATAGCATAGGTATTCAATACTCACTGACAAACCTACAGAAGAGAACTCACCTTTACTGAGCTCCTAGAAGGTGCCTGAGTCTGTGTAAACCACTCTCTATTCTTTCTCGTTGCATTCTCACATCAATACAATGCAATGGGGAGCACAACCATTCCCATTTTACAGATGCAAAGACTGAGGCTCAGACTGTGGCCACATAACCAATGAGGGGGCCCTAGGGTTTAATCTAATCCCTCTCTAACTCTAAGGACCACAGTCTTAATTATGAACCATATTAAGAGATGTTGGGGGGGGAACCCAGGAGTGGAGGAGGAGCCTGGAGAGGAACATCAGGAAGGGGAGCAATATTGTCATGGTAACCCCACCTGTCCCTTCTTATAGTCCTGTCCGTTCTCCATCGGTGGCCACCTGTCCCCAAGGCCCACATACATCAGTGACCAGACCATTCTGCATAATCGAAAGCCCTGTTCAGATGACTACCGGAAGCGAGTAGGGTAAACCAGGGTTAGCCTGATGGTGGACGGACTGGGCCCAGAAACAGTGCAGGGGTGTTGCTGCCCCAGACCCAGGGCACAAGGGCCTGGTGGGGTGTCCATCACATCTCAGTCCACCACTCCCTGCAGTAGCTGGCAGCAGCAGCCCCTGGGCACTACCAAGCCAAGGTACCTAGAGCAACTAGAGAACTACCTACGCAAGGAGCTCCTCCTGCTGGACCTGGGCACAGATTCTGCCCAGGAGCTAAGGCTGCAGGTCAGAGCCACAGAATAACTGGGGGGAGGGCAGGGGCAGGGCTGGGAAGAAACCTTACTCACCAGGACTAGGCACTTCAGACATTCAGGTGAGACCAGCCTTTCCCAGCTCTCTTGGGTTCCCCTTCCTGGTAAGAGAAACTTGTTCTCTAACAAAGCCAGTGAGCAGGCAAGTCTACCAGCATGGAACCAAAACTCTCCTGAGGGTTGGGTTTCTTTACCTGAGTCAGGTGGCCTGAATGCTGACTCCAGTCGCTTCTGTGATCCCCAGCACCGACCTTGGGTCACTGGGTATCAGTGAATGGAGCCTAAATCCCGGCAGTTGGGCAAGCAGGGGTCATACAATGTCTACCAGCCCAGTAACAACAGCCCCAAGCTTGAGGAACTTAGCCAGCTACAGAGAGAAATCTAGATGTAACCTAGATTCTGATGCATATTAGGGAAGGAATCACCCAATCCCTGCTCAGATGGAAATGATGACTGGGAATCCCTCACTTCTGACTTAGTCACTGACAGAAGCATTTGCTGAGCACTGTCTGTGTGCCAGGCTCTGAGTGGGGCCTTAGATATGGTCTCACAAGCTAAAGGAACCTCGCCAACAAAGAAGCAGAAGCTCAGAGAAGGCATCCGGCTATGCAGTAGTGGAGCTAGGATTCAAACTCAGGGCTGGTTCGGGAGCCTGTGCTCATTCCAATACACAGTGTTGCCTCCGAAAGCTTCCTGTGTGTCTGAGTGGGACAGGAAACCATACCTCTACTTGGAAGCTAGAGCCTTAGACCTTCTCCTGCCCCCACAGAGCTGTAAGATGGGGAGGGGTGCTGGTAAGAGGCCAGCTGAAGCACAGTGCATGGAGGAGGCTGGCTGCCTGGAGAGCCAGAGGGGGCTCAGGTAGAGAGGGGGAGGTCCTGACCCAGGTCGTCTGCCAGGTCTCAGAGACAGCACCAGGAGAGGTCACCAGAGAGCAGCTGAGAGGGATGGAGCCGCCCCTCAGCTCCCTGACTGTGAGAGACCCCAGTGGTGCCTGTGGCATTTATTTGAATGTGAGTTGCCTGGCAGCTTCATGCTAGAACACTTCTAATCCAAGCAAAGAAAAACTTAGGTCCCACTGAGAGTGGCAGCTATAGGCCAGGAGGTGACAGTTTCCCTTTTCTTGCCAGCCTTACAGAGAAATCTTTGAATTTTTCATAGAGGACTTCAAAACATACAAGCCATTGCTATCCTCCATCAAGAATGCATATGAGGTGATTCTGGGTAAGACTGCAGCCTCCCTGCCTGGCCCCAGCCTGGAAGAGGCAGAGAGGATCCTAGTCTGACCTTCTGGGTTCTGCAGCAGGGCTGGGGCAGCTACAAACTGGGCTTTGAGGTCACCAAGCCCCCCTTAGCCTTTTTGCTTACACTGTCATGTGATAGGGCACCCCAGGGCAACTGACTACCTCCCATTCTTGGGAAGCATGGTGGGGCAGTATCTGTGGGAAATAGAGCATCTTTTCTATTGACAGTGAAGCCCAGAAGGGAGGGTGTACCCCTGGGAAGTGAGGGGGCTTCCCTCACCAGGCTCAGGAGGTGCTGGGCATGGTGCAGCTGCAGGACTAAAGGCCGTATGGGTAAAGGGCATAGGTGAGACCCTGGTCCTCATCGGGACTCTGCCCCTGGTTTAAAAGCAAGTGCAAGAAGGACTTAAGCAGGAGCTATGCTTTGAACAGGCATGTATAGACTCCTCGAGTTTGCAAGGGACACAGCCACTCACTGCGACCTCAGGATCAGTGTCTCCTGGTTGTTTGTCCTCCATGGCCCCAAAGGGACTCTCCCACCTGTCCCTGCTTAGCCGACCAGAGGGAGAAGATTCGGGCTCTGGAGCCCCTGAAGGCGAAGCTTGTCACTGTGAATGAGGACTGCAACGAGAGGATCCTGGCCATGAGGGCTAAGGAGAGAGATGAAATCTCCATGCTGAAGAAAGAGAAGATGAATTTGCTAAAACTCATTGATAAGAAGAATGAGAAGATCTCATTGCAGAGTGAGGTGAAAGGGAGTAATATGGTGACCAACTCCCTCAATTCCTCCCACTCCCACCCCAGGGGTGACCTTCAGGCCTTCAGCCCTGGGGTGACCCCCTAGCTCTCTCCACCCTTCTGCCTGGAATGATACACAGAGCCACCACCTCCCCCCATACCCCTCTCTCCACATGCTGCCCTCCTCCTCAGCTCAGCACTGGCTTGGTATGGCCCCAAATGCCAGCAGAGTCCCGCTCCTTGGCTGCCAGATTTTCTCCACAGGAGGAAGCTTCGGCACTTTGCTGGATTCTCAGGAATGACCAGTCTCCTCCTCCTTCTACCTTTCTTGTTCTTTTCCCAACAGGTGACCAAACTGAGGAAGAACTTGGCTGAGGAGTATCTGCGCTACCTCAGCGAGCAAGATGCCCGTAAGATCCTTATTGCAGACCTGAATGAGCTACGGTACCAGCGGGAAGACATGTCACTAGCCCAGTCCCCAGGTAAGCCCAAGGTGGGTTTCTCTACCCTGAAGAGGCGCTGGAGAGGAGTCTGGCTCTCACCACTCCTATTCATTCAACTCTCCTATTATCTGCTCATTCACGATGGGAGATGTTCCTGCTGCCACCTGGGTCTGTGGATCTTCTGAGCTGGCCTGAGAATCATAGACTTGTTTACGAAGGAAACAATCACTGGCAGCTGAAGCAGCCTAGACTCCCTAAGGGCAGGACAGGCCTGGTACTCCACATCCTGGGCTTCTCTATTTAAGCTCAAAGCCCTATGCTCGTAGCACTGTGGAAAGACTCAGGGGTTCCCAAGCTGGGAGAGCAGGAAGACCTGGGACATGCCCCAAGGGACACTCAACCCTGCCCTGGGCTACAGGCACCAGAGGCAGGGTGACATGAGCTGGCGGGCCCCCTGGCAGGTGTCTGGGAGGAGGACCCTGTGAAGTTAACAGTGGCTCTGAAGATGGCCCGGCAAGACTGACCCGCAGGCAGATGGAACTCAACACCATGAAGGCCAACTTTGGAGACGTGGTGCCCAGAAGGGACTTTGAAATGCAGGAGAAGACCCTCAAGGATCTGCAGGAGCAGGTGCTGGTGGGCAGGCAGGGTAGCGAAGGGCCATGCAGGTGAGTAGCAAGGACCAATCACCCTGCCCACAGCTGGACAGCCTGAGAGACGACTATGAAGAGTTCTGCAAGGAGCACAAGATGCTGTTGCAGTTGCACACGAGCTGAAGGAGCAGGACCAGTTTTACTCCGAGCTGCAGGAGATCCAGCGCACGGCCATACCGCGGCCAGACTGGTCCAAGTGTGAAGGTAATGCTGGCCATGGGAGCCCTAGGGACTGCTCAAGTGCGTGGTCTGGACTCCAGCTCCCTCTCCCCACCTGCAGATGTGGTGGCTGGAGGACGAGATCGCTGGCAAATGCTGGCCGAGGGCAAGAACAGCGACCAGCTGGTGGATGTGCTCCTGGAGATTGGCGAGGGGCTGCTCCAGGAGAAAGACTTCTTCCCTGGTCTGGTAGGGGAGTCTCTGGGCTCAAGAGGCTTGGGGCCAGAGTCAGAATGGCCAGAAGTCTTCTTGCTGCTGAGAAGTCCCTGGGCTCAGGAGGCTTGGGGCCAGAGTCAGAATGGCCAGCAAGTCTTCTTGCTGCTGAGAAGACTTGAGGTTCTGGGGGAACTATCTGGGGCTCTGCCCTGCTTGCTGGTGGGGCTACAGAGGGGCCCAGAGATAAGCTGACATGGTTCCATACAGGGTTATGGGGAATCCATCCCCCCTTTCCTTCGGTTTGATGGTGTCATGCAGAACAAGAAGCCAACCAAGAAGGATGTGGTAAACCTCCTCAAGGATGCCTGGAAGGAACGTATCACTGAGGAGCAGGTCAGATCTCTCTAGCCATTTTGGCCTGGTGTGGCTGCCTGAGTCCTCTGGTGCATGGGGGGGTGGGGGTGTCCCTCAAGGTGCTAGGGAACAGGGAGGAGGGCCAACAGACGTGGGGCAGGCGGACCAAGCAGTCTTCCCCCTACCCTGCAGAAGTTCCCAGATTTCTTCTTCAATTTCCTGGAGCGTCGCTTTGGGTCTGGTGATGCCATGGCCTGGGCTTACACCATTTTTTAATATACCAAGCTCTTCCACTCCAATGAGGTCATGAGTCAGTTCTATGCAATCCTGATGGGAAAGGTAAGCTTGGGCCTGGCCCTCCACCCTTTGTCTCCGGCATAGGCCAGCTCTATCCCCACCCCTCTAGGAAACAGCAAGATGGTCAACGCTTCCCCCCTAGAGGAAAGAGAGTGTGTACATCAAGCAGAAGGAGACAATAGCACAGCTGCTGAAGGAGATGACCAGTGCTGACAGCCAGAACGAGGGGCTACTAACCATGGCGCAGTTAAGGTGCGAGACCAGTTGGCCACCCCGAACTTCAGCCCAGCATGACCTCTGGCCAAGCTCCTAGCTGTGCAGGGGGAAGGGGAGCCTGGTGGGAAAAGGCCAGACTCAGTGCATTCTGCCCTTTTGAGCACCAGTGGGGCTGGCAGAGGGGTGCGGGGAGATGGGTAGGCAGGCATCAGCCAGGCCTGTCAGCCCTCGTGTCTCCCTACAGCACTGCCCCCAAGAGTACCTTCCCCTTCAAGAAGGACGAGAGAATTCAGGAGCTGATGGAGGCAGGGGGCTGGCATCCCAGCAGCAGCAATGCAGACTTGCTCAACTACTGCGTATTATTTATGGAGGTGGGTTGGGGCCCAGGAACTTGCCCAGTCCTGCCCTAGCCTCTGCTGGACCCTAGCCCGTGTACTCTCACCCTGCCTTGTGGCCCCTTCCCAGGACAAGGAGGGCCAGAGCGTGCCCTTTGTACAAAAGCTGTGGGAACAGTACATGGATGAAAAGGATGAATACTTACAGGAGTTAAAGCAGGAGCTGGACCTGGAACTGTGAGTGACCCTGGGGACCTCAGGCTCACTTAGTCATAGGCAAGTCCTACAGGCTGGGCCACAGAGTAGCACCTCAAGCCCCAGGTCTCCCTATGCACCGAGCTTGCTGCTGGGCACTACATACTGCTCAAGCCTGGGAGAGGGCATCTTGGGGTCTGAGGTACAGAGAGGACAGTCAAGGTCTATCTCTCTCTTTCTTTGTGGGGGCAGCCACGATGAGGTGACCCTACCCAAGGTACGTGAGGCCTTGATGAACACTGATCCCAGCCTGGACAAGCAGACCCTAAACAGCTATTTGAGCCAGGCCTTCCAGCTCCCCATGACAGAACTGCCAGAAGAGGGCGAGGAAAAGGAAGAAGGCATTGTGATAAGGCTCCAGGCTGCACTGGAACAGCTTCAGATGAGTGATGTTAGGCGTATGGGGCCCTGAGAGCAGGAACCTGCAAGCTGAGGCCACTGTGGGCAGCCTGAGTGCTCCCGTGCTGCTAACCTCTGACTGTTGTTATAAAATTGTTTGTCTGAACCCATGCTATTCTCTAGGTTATGCTGGGGAGTCAAGTTATGAAGGGTGGTTGGTCGCTGCTTGGCTGGTCCCAGAACATGCACCAAAGCACAGCATATTCTGTTTGTGACATTTTATTGATGCTGGGGGGCAGGGAGGAAACCTAGAAGTGTATGTGGGGCCAAGGGGCCCCAGGTAGGGACAGGGCAGGTGTTGAGGCCTGGCCACTACTGGGCAGGGAAGACAGTGTTGCCACTGAATGCACAAGGGATGAGCTGCTGTCGGTACTCCAGGGGCAGGTGCCGCTCCACGAGCACATGCAGGGAGACTTGGTCACTGACCAGGCCCTGCCTGCAGCAGAGGAAGATAGAGAATGAGAGAATCAATGCCAGCACTCCCACACCCAGCACCTCCCTGCTTCCATCCACTTACCTTCGCATCAGCAGCTCCAGGTCCTCTGGCCTCACAGTCTTGCGACCAGCATGAGCAGCAAATACCTCCAGGTCGTCACAAAGATGCTGGAAATACTTGTCCAGGCTGCCAAGAAAGTAGGAGTAAAACAGACTGTTCATGATCTGAGGGGCTTCTCTCCCCACCCCAAGTGTCAAGGACTCACCACTTCTCCACCATTTCCACAGCCTTCTTCTCCATAGGCATCTTAGCATAGAAGCTAAAGAGTTTCGCATAGTGGTTCAGTCCAGTCTTGTAGGGATCTTGACGGGGTCTGGAGCCAGGGATTCGGGGCTTGGGAGGAAGCCTGGCCGACAGAGGCTCCGGAGGCTCTGAAGGTAACCTAGGGGCAAGGAGTGAACAGAGTTAGCTGAACTGCTGCTACCTAAAGAGGCCGCTAATCAAACATAAGTCTTGCTGGCTCCTGCCAAGACTGGGGCCCTTGTGCTCCTTGGCCAGGCTGGACCAACAGCTCCAACCATTTCTGGGGGGCAGTGGGGACAGGGGGCTATGTAGAAGCCTGGTCTTTCCCTGGGGCCCCAACCCTCCACAATCTGGACACAATGTCCCAGTCTAGCCTCATCATACAAACCAGTACTTGCTCAGGCCCATGATCCTCAGGCTTTGGCATGGACATTCCCCCTACTCAGCCCACTCTGCCTGTCCCATTCTGCTAATCCTCCTCCAGGAAGCCTTCTCTGACTGCATACTAACCTAGGCACTTCCCCCCTGCCCAGGCTCCTCTAAGCCCCTGCAAGCAGGCACCAGACAGATGTGCTGAGTGGGCCCCATCCAGCCCACCTTAGGGTGCTCTCCTGGGTAATCATCTATATACCTAAAGGAAGAGTGATAAGAGTGATAACTCTGTGGTACCCAATGCCAACCTCAGTACCTGCCCCCTTCCAAGAGGCCCATGTGGAACAGGGTCGTGGGATCTTACACTGCAGTGCTAGGCGGTGGAGCTGGCTCAAGAAACTGAAGTCGCCTGGCCCGAAGGAACTCTGGGGTGCTGGAGGCCAACTCTGGGCTTGCTGCAGAGGAAGGGCAGGGTTACAGAGGGCACAGGCCAGACCATCTCACTCAACCCTGAAGGCCCACAGCCTCCTTATCCTGTTCCTCGAGGGCTCCATCTAGCTCCAGCCAAGCAAGGGGCCTTTCAGAGTTTCCCTGGCCCAAGACCACCTGTGCCCAGAAACACAAGCCAGGTAAGCCCCTCCTCCAAGGCCAGGGACATAGCTGTCCCTTACCCACCCACCCCCTGATCCCTGCACTGGGCCCCTTACCTGTTCTACCAGAGGTGTCTTCATCCCCTGAAGATCCTTCTGGCTCCTTGGCCTCGATAGCCCCCCAGGATCCCTCTGCTTCGGTCACTTCTATGTGTCCTTCAAGCTCTTCTGCTCTGGCGGATCCTTGTGCTTCTGCTGCCTTCTCCACTTCCCTCAAGCTTTCTTCCATTCTTTCCTCTGCCTCCTCACCTACTCCATTCTGTAAGGGCTCTACTCCATCTTCTCCAGAGATATTACTGCTGATGTTCGGAAAGCCCATAGCAAGGGCATCAACCTCCTTCACCTTTCCTGCCAGAAGCTGGGCTGCTTTCCCAGCACCTGAATCAAGGGGAGAGAATATAGGCTGGAAAAGCAGTAGGCCAGGGCTGTAGCCCTGAGAAAGGTAAAGATGGAGTAGTAAAACCCAGCCTAGCCCATCAAGGAAGGAAGAGGGCCAGAGGCAGCCCCAGGGTACTGGTTTGGAATCTCCTGGCCCAACACTGACTCTGCTCTTGGATGGAGGGATCAACAGCCCTCCAAAGGGACTCGGGGGTGACGGGGTACATATATGGGCCTGAGGAGGAAAAAACACCAATGCCAATTCTTGCTTAAGCTAGGCTTGGCTCCAGGTTGCGTGCCCCACATACTCACCGTTGTTCTGCAGCCCAAGCCCACTGCTCCATGTCCTGCGACTGGCAGCCCTCTCCACATCTTTAGCCCCAGAGTGAGAGCGGCAAGGCAGGGAGTGGTGCACACTGGGGGAACGGCCAACCAAGGGCTGGGAGAAGGGCTGGGTGTCCTCCAACACTGTGTCTGTTGGCAGAGTAGCAACAGGGGTTCTGAGGCTGTCATCTGGAGATCAAGGTCCAGTTGGCACTCAGTGTTTTGCACGCCCACCTGCTGTTCTGCTAGCCAGTCACCAGGGCCTGGGTAGTGGACCCACAAGCTTGCCCAAGTGGCCCTCAGAGAGAGAAGACTGAGCCTATTCTAAGCCTAATCTCCCTTCCACAGCTCTCCTTGCTTACCTTCCTGCTCCTTAGCCTGGCATTCCCAGGCTCCATAGGTTGCCCCACCCAATCTGCTCACCCATGCCTCCATTCTCCACTTTTCATTCAGGTCCCTCTGCCTGCAACCCTTCTCTTATCCTGGTGAACTTGACTTGTCTTTTGGAATCAGGCTCCCAGGTCAGCTCTGACTGAACAGCTGATCCTGAAACCTAGCCTCTTTTAACCTCCCAATAAGCTCCAGCCACCATATCACACCCCTTTCCTACCCTCAGTCCTGTAGCTCTTCAAGGATATGGGGTCCTGGAAGATACTGAGGGACTAAGACTGGGCCCCCGGAAGACAAGAGGCAATTTGCAGAAAGAAAGCAGAAAGTCCTCATAAACCTACTGGCCAGGCTTGCTCACTGTTCTTGACTCAAAGGAGAGAGGAGCAACCCTGGACTCAGCAGCACCTCCCATCAATCATGGGGGGAAACTTTCCCCACAGGCCAGAAGACAGAAATCTCAACCTTACCTGGAGGAGCCAAGGCCAGGGAAGTATCTCGCAGATCCTGCAAAAGTGTACCCACATCTACAGCTCGGCGGGTAGGAGGTCTGCGGGCCAAACCAGGCCTCTTCACTGATTGTGTTTGCAGAGGTGTGGCGAAGGTCAAGTTGAGGGAGCTGATGGGAGGGACAAGGCACAAAGGAAAGTCAGGTACCTGAGGTCCAACCACCCTCCCCCACCCCAGGAGTCCCCCAGCTGCCCCGGTGCTCTCATCTCTTAGAACCCAGCCACCATGCTGTGAGCATGGAGCAGTTATGGCCAGACTGCATTCTATTCAGCACCCCCTTCCCCAAGCCTCTCCTCCACCAACTCCCGGAACAGGCAACAGCACCTGGTGAGGGGAGAGGCATCAGCATTCCCATGAGGCTCTGCAAGAGGATGTAAAAAGAAACCATAATAAGTTACCCAGGCCTCTCTCAGTCCTCCTCAGTCTCTCCAGAGGACAGAGAGGGTGGCCACAGGTGTTGTCCAGGACCTCACCTTGGGAGGGAGGCAGTCCCAAGTCCACTCCTTGCTGAAACACTGACAACCTCAGTCTCTGCTTCCTTCTGCCAAGAGCCAGCAGACCTGGAGCCAGGGTTGTGGGGGGCTCAAGTTCAGGAAGCTGCAACTCCAGGCTACAAGGATGGAGCTTTTCTCAGACAAGCCAGGGCACCCAACTCCGGCTCTTAGAGCCCCAAGAGGCTCCCTGACTAGTAATGCCCAGCAGCCTAGCCCAAGGAGGGAATTTACTGCACCTGCCCCGACCGCTTTCCCGTCTGGAAGCCTGGACCACCTGCGGTGCCAGCACTGGCTTCACCACTGACTCTGGCATTAGGATGGAAGATTCCGGGGCTGTAGAAATAGCAAGGAGGGAGTGGAGTTGGCAGGGAAGGCTGCCCTAAATGAGAGATATCACAGGGCTGGTGCCTGATTCTCACTGCAGGCCAGTGCTCACTCACCAGTTAGTAAGATGTTCTTCAGCAGAGTCCGGGGTGTCTGTTCCTCCAAGTGTCCACTGGCTTGAACATGGGCCAATCTGTCAACAGACTTTGGGTAAAAGCATCAAGCAATCAATTTGTTCCTTTGCCTTGACAGTCCCTCAAGGTGGGCTCCAGAGCAGAGCTATAACTCAAGAGCCCCCGAAGGCAACCAGAGCCCTGTAGTGATCAGCGGGTAGAGCACTTACCCTGGCTCTATTAGAACAACGCCTGGCAGTCGTCTTTGTTTGGCTCCTCAGCCTCCTAGAGGAAGGTGTTTGAAGCAGGGCTCTCTGGACACTGTGTAAAGAGCAGCAACTGTGAGAATTATGTAGGGAGGGTGAACTAGCGACGGGTCTTCGTCAGGGATCTTGGCTGAAGTCCTTTACCCTCAGGGACAGGGACCAGAAACCACTTGCCCTCCCACAGGCCTATTCCCAGTTCTATGTCAACAGGGTTGTGGATGAAAGGGAGCCGAGGGGTATGGGAAGAGAGAAGGAATATGATGACCCAGCCAGAGAGAAGGGCTGAGGAAGGCTTCACTGAGGTGACTACAGCAGAAGTAGGGGTTAACCACACAGATAAGAGGAACAACTGGAAATGTATCCATTCTAGACACTAAAACAATTCAGGGATATTTCAATATTTTTAAACCTTTTAAGTACTAGTCAGGGTCTGACAACAACCTCCACATGGGTCACCCCAGCCCTACTCTCTCCAATCCAATACCCTCTCAGATTCCAGAACCACATAAATGTTCCTCTGGCACAACTCCCACCTCATCACTCACAGGTCTAAAACCTATAATGAATGGCTTCCCATTGTCTATAAAGGAACTGCACTGCCCCAGGAAGTCAGCAGATGCCATCTTCCACCCTCTCTGCACCATAAGCTCACCACAGCCCTCACCCACTGACACTCCCACCACGTCAGGCCAAATTCGCTGCTCTCTAGCAAAGCATCTTTCCAGTTCCTGCCTCCTGACTGCTACCCAGGCTACGCTCTGCAACTCCTTTCCCATCTTTCAGCTGGGAACCGCTTGGGAGACTGTTCAGGGCAGATGCCTGGACATACTCTGGAGAAAACTGGCCTAGAGAACATAGCAGAGGTCCAGATTCTGAGCACCTATCCTTCGCTTCCAGAAGCGGACCCCCAAGGACGCCTGTATAATTGAGCTCTGAGGTCCCGAGCGGCCTGGAGTCTCAGGGGTGGGCGCACAAACAGCTGACCCGATCCCAGCGAGGAGAAAGGAGCCTGTTCTCAGAGCCCTGGACTCTGCTCCTCTCCGAGACTCAGTTTCCGTCTCCAAACAGGGTCAGCTCTGGACCCCATCGCCCACTCCCTCAGGTTGTTCTTGTGTTGGGGCAGCGCCCTCACATACTCAGTCCGAGCACTCCGGGGTCGCCGCGGGGTGCGAGGATCCGCTGTATCCAGCACGCGCCGTAGCAGCGTGCGCGTCGTAGGCTCGCTGTCCCGGCTATAGCTGTCCGCCATCGCCTCAACAGCCAGCCCTCCCAGCCGCTTCAGCAGCTGGCCTTCAGCAGCCGCTTCAGATCACCGCCTTCCCGCCGCCACATTTAAGCCAACTCTCGCGATGCTGCTGAATTTAGGTCAACTCTCGCGAGGCTGCCGCACAGCCCCACGGGAATTGCAGTTCTAGTCCTGCCGCCGGCTTCGCCCGGTGTGTACAGTGGTGGTAGCAAACGGGTTTTGTGGGCATCCTTACCTTGAGCCTGGGCAAGTATGTGCAGCCAGTCGAAGTCTCGGTTTCCTCACCTAAGGTAAGGTGAGGGTGATAACCACCTAATAAGGGTGTGTGTGTGTGTGTGTGTGTGTGTGTGTGTGTGTAATGAGTCAATTAGATAATGTTTAACTCAGGATCTGACAAGTAATAAGCCAGGTCATGAATAAATAGCAGGGACTATTTGTGAGAATGTCTCTCATTCTCATCTCCCTCTCCGAAGATGAGGAGAGACACATTTGGGCCAGGAAAAAAATAACTGTATTCTATATGTGACCTGATCAGATTTGCATTTGCAAAGACCGATGTGTCTATAGGACCTGTATCTATCACAAGAGATCAGTTTGCGGGCTTAGAGGCTAGTGGGCTGTTTGTGATCCAGCAGAGATGTTAAAATCTCCAAACATCAGCAATTCTGAGATAAATTTCGGCTCTCAAAAGTTCTGTTAATGCTGGAGACTCCATTACCATATTTTCACCAATTGACAGCCCCCTGCCCCCTTTCTTACATTTTAATGGGAATTGAAATAGAACTTGAGCTCTGAGTTTCCTGTGGAGTTCTCCTTCATGCTCCTAAATTATGTGTAAAGTTTCAGATACTGGCAGTGGCGTGGGCATATTTGTGCTTATGTTAAAAAATAGAGCAAAGAAAAAATAAGATTCTTGCTTCTCAAAATTAGAGAACTGCAGAGGAAAATCATATCAATATTCCTCGTCATTTAGATCTGACCTTTGTGTTATCTGGCTTAAATTGCTAGCCCTTTGCAGGCACATTTCCGCGATCACTATCAACCACCTAAGTGCAATATTTATTTATTATTTGTAAAGCTTTGGACTGGATAATATGGAAAAAACATTAAAAACTTTTCAAAACAATTTGAGAATGAGCTTACTTTTCACAGCATTATTTGTGTTTGCATAGATTGTCTTTACTGTGTTTACACGATTGATTAAACTTTATATTTACTATTTGTCAAAAAAACAAAACAAAACACAGGGACTGCCCTGCTGGTGTAGCGGTTAAGAATCCACCTGCCAATTCAGAGGACATTCGAGCCCTGGTCCGGGAAGATCCCACATGCTGCGGAGAAACTAAACCCGTGCACCACAACTACTGAGCCTGCGCTCTAGAGCCCGCAAGCCACATCTACGGAACCTCAGTGCCACAACTACTGAAGCCGGTGAGCCTAGAGCCCGCGAGCAACAATTACTGAAGTCTGCGCGCCTAGGCCCCGTGCTCCACAACAAAGAGAAGCCACTGCAGTGAGAAGCCTGTGCACTGCAACGAAAAATAGCTCCCTCTTGCCTCAACTAGAGAAAGCCCGTGTGCAGCAACGAAGACCCAATGCAGACAAAATAATAATAATATTTTATAAATATTGTTTTTGTTTTTGTTTTGCGATACGCGGACCTCTCACTGTTGTGGCCTCTCCTGTTGTGGAGCACAGGATCTGGACGCGCAGGCTCAGCAGCCATGGCTCACGGGCCCAGCCGCTCCGCAGCATGTGGGATCCTCCCGGACCAGGGCACGAACCTATGTCCCCTGCATCGGCAGGCGGACTCTCAACCACTGCGCCACCAGGGAAGCCCCATAAATATTGTTTTAAATAATAAAACACTGGGGGAATTCCCTGGTGGTTCAGTGGTTAGGACTCTGCGCTCTCACTGCCGAGGGCCTGGATTCAATCCCTGGTCCAAGAACTAAAATCCCACAAGCCGCGTGGTGTGGCCAAAAAACACAAGAAAGCAAAACCAAAACCGAACAAACAATCAAAAAAACTGGGGGCTTCCCTGGTGGCGCAGTGGTTGAGAGTCTGCCTGCTCATGCAGGGGACACGGGTTCGAGCCCTGGTCTGGGAAGATCCCACATGCTGTGGCGCAACTAGGCCTGTGAGCCACAACTACTGAGCCTGTGCATCTGGAGCCTGTGCTCTGCAACAAGAGAGGCCATGATAGTGAGAGGCCCGCGCACCACGATGAAGAGTGGCCCCCGCTTGCCGCAACTAGAGAAAGCCCTCGCATAGAAACGAAGACCCAACACAGCCAAAAATAAATAAATTAATTAATTAAAAAAAAACCACACAAATAACCAAGGATTACATTGGTTGTAAACAGAAATGCAATGGTAATGTATGGGTGTTGGGACCAGAAAAATAGTTCTTTTTTTCCCCATTGTCGTTTATGTTTCTAGAACATTTTAAGTATGGGTCTGTTTTACAATAAAGAATAACAAACTTGGACTTCCCTGGTGGCACAGTGGTTAGGAATCCGCCTGCCAATGCAGGGGACACGGGTTCGAGCCCTGGTCTGGAAAGATCCCACATGCCGCGGAGCAACTAAGCCTGTGCACCACAACTACTGAGCCTGTGCTCTAGAGCCCGCACGCCACAACTATTGAAGCCCGCGCACCTAGAGCCCGCGCTCTGCAACAAGTGAAGCCACTGCAATGAGAAGCCCAAGGACTGCAACAAAGAGTAGCCCCTGCTTGCCGCATCTAGAGAAAAGCCCGTGTGCGGCAACAACGACCCAATGCAGCCAAAAATAAAAAGGAATAACTAAAAAAGTGACAGTTAACTTGGAGTGCTTTTGCAAACTTTTAAAAGGCCCGATCTATTTTGTTTTTATATCAAATAATTAGAAATAATATATAAACTAGGCTTCGAATTCATACCCGTGGTCTGTAATCAGAAGAGAAAAAAGTGAGGAAGGAGAGTCAGGAGAAAGGGTGAAGAACGGCAAGAAGTGGGAGAAACGGGGAACTCGGCAAAGGAGGGCTAGCTTACAGGTAATTCTCCATGACGAGTGCCTGGCCTCCTCTCTGGTTTTCCACAGCTTCTCTTGCCCTTTAGAACATTTTCCCCAAGGAAGTCGAGGGAGTGGGGAGGTGACTTGTTACAATACAAATCCTGTCCAACCTCTCGTTTAACACCCCTCCAACAGTTCCCAGTCACCGGCAGAATAAAATCACAAATCTTTTAACTTGGCCCAGTTTATCTTTCGGAGCTTCTGCTATTCTGGCTACCCTTGAGGATCCTTAAGGGCAGAGCCTAGCTCCTTCCTGCCTCAGGTTCTTACAGGCTGGTTCCCGGGCAAAAACCAGCGACTCCTCCCTAACCAAGCTTTTCGTGGATTTTTTCTTCCTGGGCCTCCGCCTCCCACTTCTCCCTCTCCCTTGTTGATTTTTTTTTTTTTTTTTGGAGCGTTTATTTCTGTGATTAGACATCCATTAGTGTGCATTCATTCACATCTATTATCCAAAAGTCTGACCCTCATCCCTCTATAGTCAGGCCGGGTCGGTATGGTTCCTGCAAGGTTCCCAACTCCCTGCACTATGGTCGGTGCACAGTAGGCGCCTAGTGATGACTATGTTTAGGTCAATAAGACAGTCAAGGCAAGTGGCATCTGAGTCGGGGGAGAGTCTCTAATTCAGACAAAAGGGCTCCCTGAGGTCCTCTGGGGCGCTGAGGCTTAGGTCCTTCCTCCCCTCCCCCGCAGGAATGCCGTGGACTCAGCAGCTCAGGGTTGGGGTACCGCTTCCGGCGAACAACACAACCTCGTCCGAATCCTGGTCCGCTTGCAATCCGACCTTTCCCTTAGGCGGCGCTCCAGGTCGCAGCCGCCAAGTTTAGCGCAAGGCATTTCGGGACTTATAGTTTCCGTGGGCACATGCCCAGGGCGCTTGCGCACTGGAGAGACGCGCGCCGCCCGACCCCCATCAGGATTCCAGGTCCTTGCGAAGGGCGCTCCAAGCGACAGAGTTCCAACCGAATACGCCTCTCTAGTCCGCCGAGGGTGAGCCGTGTAGGGGAAAAGTCCGCTCTACGTGGGCTGTCGCGGTGCCCTGCAAAGAGACCGGAACAAGCGCGCCCCGCTCCGGAAGTGAGCGGCTTCTGCCGCGGTGCATTGTGGGGGGCGTAGTCCTCTTTCCCAGGCGGTCCTTCGCGGCGTCCCTGGGGCCCACTCTGGAGCGCAGGCGGGCGGCTGGGCGGCTGGCTCGGCGCGGGCCGACGGGAGGCGTATTCTGGGCACGGGGCGCCGGGCCAGGCCGGCCGCGCCGGGCGGCAGTAGTGGGAGGCCGCCGAAGGCCTCGCGCGGTGCCGCCCGTCGAGGGGCGGGCGGCGGCATACCGACCGGGCCGTCGAAAGGCTCAGAAGGCCGGTGGGCTGGGCCGGGCCGCGCGGCGCAGCCATGCCTGGCTTTACGTGCTGCGTGCCAGGCTGCTACAACAACTCGCACCGGGACAAGGCGTTGCACTTCTACACGTTTCCCAAGGACGCTGAGCTGCGGCGCCTTTGGCTCAAGAATGTGTCCCGTGCCGGCGTCAGTGGGTGCTTCTCCACCTTCCAGCCCACCACGGGCCACCGTCTCTGCAGCGTTCACTTCCAGGGCGGCCGCAAAACCTACACGGTGCGGGTCCCCACCATCTTCCCGCTGCGCGGCGTCAACGAGCGCAAAGTAGCACGCAGACCCGCGGGGGCCGCAGCCGCCCGCCGCAGGCAGCAGCAGCAGCAGCAGCAACAGCAGCAGCAGCAGCAGCAACAACAACAGCAGCAGCAGCAGCAGCCGTCGCCGTCCGCCTCCACTGCCCAGACCGCCCAGCTGCAGCCGAACCTGGTATCTGCTTCTGCGGCTGTGCTCCTCACCCTTCAGGCTGCTGTGGACAGCAGCCAGCCTCCGGGATCCGTGCCTCCGGCTCCCACCACTCCCACGGGAGAAGATGTGAAGCCCATTGACCTGACGGTGCAAGTGGAGTTCGCGGCCGCAGAGGGCGCAGCCGCCGCAGCCGCTGCGTCGGAGCTAGAGGCTGCTACAGCAGGGCTGGAGGCCGCCGAGTGCCCCA